AATATTATAACTAACAACAGACTTTAAAGATTAATTTTATAATTTATTTTGTTTTATTTAATATAGTATTAATATTTTAAATAAAACATAATCTTATCAGTCGAATTAAGTTCCGACGCGAAGGAAAGGGCGCGTGAATTTATTTGTATTGTTATTAATATTTTAATTAAACCATAATCGTATGAGATAAAATCCGACGCGAAGGGAGAGGCGCGTGAGAGAAATGCACTTTAACCATTTGATTGCTGATGATTCTTTTCGCGTCTCGTACTCTACCGGTTCGTTCCTTCCTTCTCCTCCACATCATCATCCCTGCCACGAAAATATTTCCATTTTCTCTCTTCCGTCACAGAAGCCGAAAGGAAACAAAAGCAGAGAGACCAGACAAATCCATATGTACTAATTTATACATATATAATAGGCAAAAAATGCTCTCTCTCTCTCCTCTTCTCAGAGAAACTTCTGATCGTGTTTCTCTTATTGCGAGCAAATCTCTCGATCTTGTATTCTTTCTCTGATAGACTCTGTCTATCCATATAAAACCCTGCTCTGGCTGGCATTTCCACCTTCATTCCATTTTCTTTGAGATTTCAAGGTCTGTTTTCTTCTTTTTTCGTCCTTAATTTTCACTTACTTCTCTTGACGTCACTTCTATAATTACTACTGTGTATATGCCTGCGCCTCGGTTCAGTTTGTGGAGTATGCGATTCCCTTGTTCTTGAAGAAGCATCGTGCTCGTCGATTTTGTGTCTCGTTTTCTTTTTGTTTCTTTACGGTTTTATTACTTCTTTTGTTTTGTTAAAGTGGATGTTTGTGTTCACAGTTGTTTTTATTTTTATGATTGCTTTCACAGTTGTGCAAATGATTAATGGCGGTAGAGAATCCTCAGGAATAGAACTGAGGATGGCGTCTTGGTACGTTGATAGTTTGACCTAACTCAAAAGTTAGGGTTCTTGATATTTGAATGTGGCACTGTAAAGTGTTGTTTTGTGCCTTGTGCTTGGATTGGTTCTTTAAAATTCAAATTCATTGCCCCTTCTTTTTCCTCGTTTGCAGGCTTGTGTGAAGTTTGTCCTGCTGCAATTTTCTACTGCCAATTTCAGTGGAAGAAATTTCTTTTTCTAGTGTTCTGTTGTAAAACCAAACATGACTTAGGGTTTTATATTCAGCCCCTTTTTGATGTATTCAATGTGTTGCCAATCTGTTCCAGAAGTGTGCCAATGACGCTTTTTGTAGCAATCAAGTTATTGTAAAAAGAATGGTTCGCCATTCTTGTTGTTGCAGTTAATATTTGTTCTTGACAGTCTGAAGCATAAACAAAGAAGAAGAGGAACAAGGTGCAAACCAGACCTAAGTCCCATACATCTAATGGGTAATAAGCTGGGAAGAAAGAGACAGGTGGTGGATGAGAGGTATACAAGGCCTCAGGGGCTGTACGTTCATAAAGATGTTGATATTAAGAAGCTAAGGAAGCTAATTCTTGAATCTAAGCTTGCTCCATGCTACCCGGGAGATGAAGAATGCTGTCACGATCGTGAAGAATGTCCTATTTGCTTTTTGGTTCGTATTTTTAGCATTGATTTTCCATTTTGTCTGTTCAGATCAGTCTTCTGAATTTTGCCTTTATTCCACATCTCGTTGATGTTTTAGTTTCCCAGTGTCCAAAGAACCATTCAACTTGGCCCAAGGCCTTGTAAAAAATGAAAATCCACTTGATTCTTTGTTTTGAGTGAAATAAAAAATAGAACTCTTATTTACTTCCTTACTTTGGGAACTCTGATCAGATTACTTTCCTCTTTAATTTCTTTCTTCTTGTTTTTTGGGTGACCAATCAGAGAACAGTAAAGATTAATCCATTAGTTAGATAAACTTGTGTTGAATCCCCCCCCCCCCCCCAATCCCAACCCAACCCAACTCCAGTTTTGATAGTTTGAAGTAGTGTATATCATGCTCTAATCAATCAATTCTGGACTTTTTTGCTCTTTATTATTTTAGTACTATCCGAGTCTCAACAGATCAAGATGTTGCATGAAAGGCATTTGTACAGGTAATTTTCCATTGAATTGAAAAAAATTATAGCTTTGCTTTATACAAATCTATGGAATTTGATTTGTCTTCTATGCAACAGAATGCTTTTTGCAGATGAAAAATCCTAATTCAACTCGCCCTACGCAGTATCCTATGCTGATAGTTTCATGTATTTATGTTTTATTGTTGCTTGGAAATCTTATTGCTCCCCTCAAATTCATATTTCCTTCGTCTTCCTTAATTAACATGAGATGCCCTTTCTGTAAAACCTCAAATTATGCCGTGGAGTATAGAGGTGTAAAATCAAAGGAAGAAAAAGGCTTGGAGCAGATTGTAAGAGTTTATTATCTAATCATTTGCATGTTTCATTTTCACTCTGGAGGAACTGTAGATACTTGTCAATATGGGAAGTGATGTGAAATATATTGTACCCTTCACAAATTCCACAGGAAGAACAGCGTGTTATAGAAGCAAAAATTAGGATGCGGCAGCAGGAGCTGCAGGATGAGGAAGAAAGAATGCAGAAAAGACAAGAACTGTGTTCATCGAGCACAAACGTATTGGCTGGGGAAATTGAATATGGCTCAACAGCTTGTATGTTTAGCTTTTGTTTATTATATTTCATTAGCTCCAGTGATGAAAAATGAAGAATTTTAAAATTTTGGTTCTTACCTTTCTGTATGTGCAGTTCCATCGCGTAGATCTACTACTGAAAGTGAAGAAATTGTTTCTGCTCAAGATTCATGTGTCACATCGGCAGTGAGACAACATTCACACCTTAGGGGAAATAGGTATGCAGTGTTCTTGTCTATTATCATTCTTCATCAAGTAACAATCATATGAGTGTTTGTGTATTTTATTCTTTTAGGATCTGGAACTGATGGTTGTACCTTTTTTCTTTTAAAAATGATGGCTATAATTACTTGAATTGTATTATTCCAATTCAACCGCTTGTCTTCCCATGTCTCCCATCTTTTGATTTTCTGCTTAGGATTGTCAATAGGCCTAAAAAAGAATCTAAAGATATAAATCTAAAGTGTTTCCAGATGTTTTGATGAAAACAAAATATTTTCTTTTTGGTCTTTCGTTTCTTGATTAAAGTAACTTCAAGCTGTTTTCAGTGAGAAAAAAGCTTGAGAGTTTAGTTGCAGTCCAAAAATAAAACTAAAAGCAATGGAGCTTAAAGTAAAAAATAAAAGCTGGTGGAGCAGATTTTTTTTAGCGTTTTTTTGGTAAATAAATGTCCATAGAACAAGAGAGTGTTTAAATTGTTTTGCTGTTTTTAATGATTTAGGTATATAGGATTTTCAACTCGAATGGCATGAATGAAGTTTATAGGACTTAAGGTTGGAAAAGTGTTTGGATGAATAGCTTTTTTCTTTGGCTTTTAAAATTCTATTGAATTGTCAATTTTTGGTAAAAGGAAACCCCTAAGCTTAAAATTTGATAAAGCAATAAAAAAGTATAATAAGTTACTAATTTAATTAAATAGTCACCTAAATATTATATTTTGCTTTTATTAGGAGTGTTCAAGTAAAAGATGTTTGTCAAATGAGCTTTTGATTTTTCACTTAAAACCCAAAAAATAAAAAAATTGATATAGATAGCTTAAGCACTCTCAACATTTTTCTTTAACCAAAATTAGCTTTATGAGCTCCTGGCTAATAACAAAAAGCCCATTCGAACATTCTCCAAGCTTTTATACCATATGCTACAATGATCTTAAACATGGCATGCCAAAAACTTTTCAATTAAAACACCACGAAATTATCATCTTTTGTTGATTTACCAATATTTAGCTTCAAACTCTTATTTACAAAGACCTGACAGCTTACTAAAATTTTAAAACTCAGACAAAAAGGTAGTATCCAAACAAAATTTCTAGCTCAAAGTACTATAAGCCTAAAAGATCATTACTTAAAGCCCTATAAACTTGAAGCACTAAATAAATAATTTAATCCAGACAACTCGATATATGTATCTGATACATTTCTCTGCACCTTTCCCCTTGTTTGTTACTGAAAAACTTGAATACTCGTATTGATTGTGGGTGTGGTAACATTTCCATATCACTTAGGAAGGAATTCCTTTGCCGTTATTTTTTTTTCTTTTGAAATAGGAATTCCATTGCCTTTTTGAGTTATAAAAGAAAATCAAAGTCTTCTCCTGGTTTAAGTAATCATTCCGAGCCTTCTAATATTTTTGGTTGAGATATTAGACAATCTCCTTTGCCTTGACTTTCTTTTATGGTAAGACTAAGTGCCTATTCCATTACTACACCATGTCACAATCTCTACAGCAGTTAAGCTTTCAAAGCACAGCCCATTGTTCTATTCCTTAATATCTATTGAACTCAGAAACTGCATTTGACAATTTAGATTTGCAAGAAATTTTAAATTCTCTATTAATGTATCAAATGCTTACATTGCAGGGATGATGAGTTTGACCTTGATCTTGAGGACATAATGGTTATGGAAGCAATCTGGCTTTCCATCCAGGTAGCTTTTTCTTTATCAACTCCTGGTTTTTGTTTGAAAATAGTTGTGAGATTCTAAGTGCTTTGGTTTTATCACGGGAATGACTGCTTTATGCTATGATTAGTCTTTGAAAAGGTGTGATCATGCGAGAAAATGCTATAATTTTTCTTTATTTAAAAAAATACTATAATTTTTTTGGTGCAATGGGAAAAAGAGGAGCATGCTTTAAAGGACCAGAATTGCTACTGTCCCGTTGTTAATAATTTGTTGAGTGATTGAGTAGGTTGTGTTTGGTACATCATTTGCTATTTTTTATTACACGTATATATTCATTTATGTATTTAGGTACGTTAATATATATGTATATATAAATTTATACATGTGTGTATGTCTATGTTGCTAATTGTATGCATGTATATTTGTATATGCAATCTAAAAAAGAGAAGTTTTTCTAGAAAGCACTAAAATTAACTTGTTATTAATTCAAAATCATGCTATATATTTGTTCCTAGAAAGATCAATCATATTTTTATTCTTATTTTGTAATGTAATTATCTTAATTTTCTTCATGTTTTTATGTGTGTAAGAAATGAAAACTAAAAGTTGTTTACATTTAGCAAAAACAGTCTTATATCTGTATATTTTAAATGTGGTTTTGTTTGCACATGTACCATCCCAATTTGTAGATGGACTTCAAGATTAATCAATAATTCTTTGGAGAGCTTTGGTGTGAAAAAGTTCTTGATATGCAAAAATATATGGAATTCCATGTTTCAAGTAACTTGGCATATTAAACTTGACGATTTCGTTTATAAAAGAAATAAATAACTTGGCATTCTTATATTTTGCATTCTTTTATCATTTAAGGTAGAGATTAGTGTTGTGGATGTTCATAGTCATCATAACAGAAATGTTGGATCAGCACTTCTGTTCAGCACCTTTGTGATGATATTTTTTTAGGATCACATTTGTCATGGCTAGCTGGTAAAATATCACTGGAAGTGATGATACATAATTATTACACAAATATCATGACAGTTGTGAAAAACGTGAAATGGCTTTTTGACATTACTGATGTTTTGGAAATGCAAAAGTAAACAACATTACGAAATAACGATACCTGATATCACAACTATAGCTCCGAAGATTGTTAGAGTGTTTAATTTTGATGTTTTAGCTTCATGCACACTAATGATGACTTATTCATCCTATTTCTTGGTTCCTTGTATGATTCTTTGGGCACGGGCCCAAGGATCTTGAGAATGTAAAGTATTAGTAATATTGTTATTCATTCTTGAGAGTTGGGATGCAACTTCCAAAGAAAATTAGACATCTCGTAGAAGACCTTGTTGATTTACATTTTTGCAAGGTCTGGATTGTGATGCAAATGATTATGAATTTAGTTTGTAGAAATATTTTTTTTGAAAGAAAAAGTGAAATAGTTTGTAGAAATATACTGGCACATGCTTACATTATTGAGAAGAACTAGTAAAGATTTTTCTGTAGTAAAAACTTACACGTAGTAGAAGACCAATGCATACTAAAGAGAAGTATTGGAAACTGAATGGTAAGTCACCAAGCAGAGAGGAGCCGTTGCGGAGGAAAACAGAAAAACCAAGACCAAGTAAACCTCAAATCAATTAGATGAATTAAGAAAAGTCTTAACACCAGATTGAGTTCAATAAGGAGGAGACCAAGAAAATAAGGGTGTTTCTGGAATCACCGGAGAAGCCTAGTAGTGCATGCTCTCTTGCACTCTGAATTGTCTCAGATAAATCTACTAGGAACCTATGGATTATTGACTTCAGAGACTTAACTCGTATAACCCCAATTACTAAATTTTAGTATTTATACTCGCTGCCCAAGCAATTGAAAGATAAGCATTGTGGATGGTTGTCTCATTAAAATAGTTGGTCTAGTAGATATTCGTATTAGTCCATCCCTTACATTAAAGTGGTTCTTGGTGAAGTAGCTGCTCTACACTAAACCATTGTATCCGTTGCCAAGTTTGTGTCCTTTGAGAAATTATCATCTTTGCATAGAAGCTTTTTAGGTATGCTAAACAGCATTTGAATATCTAATCTTTTATTTGACACTATCAGATGAAAAGTAGCAAGAAGTTGTGAGAGAAGAGATGCAGGTCCTAGAGAAGAAATTGTTGATTTACCTCTTGGAAAAAAGTCCTGTGGGATACAAGTAAATGTTTACAATAAAGATTGGATGACTCCATGGAGAGATACAAAACCAAACTTGTGGCAAAGGGATATACAAAAGCCTAGTTTATAGACTACCAGGAAATATTTGGTCCAATGGTGAAAATGAATGACGTAAGAGCTTTGTTGTCTTTACCAGCTGACTTTAATTGGTATTTAGAGCATTTCAATGTAAAGAATGTTTTCTTTCACGACAATTTGGAGGAAGAGATGTAAATGGATATTCCTTTTGGTTTAAAGGGAAAACTAAGAGTCAATAAAGTTTCCTTGATTTGGGAGATTTGTTAAAAATAATGCTTCTCATCGTGCACATACAAAGTTAGGGAGATCATAAGCTCTTTTTAAAAGACAGATTTAGGAGGAGTCACAACTCTTTTGATATATGTCAATGATATAGTTGTGATAGGAAATCACTTTTATTTCAAAAAAAAATTGTGATAGGAAATGCTGATAAAGAGAAGGAAACATGGAGTTAAAGAGCTTTGGGGACTGAAAACACATTCTAAGAATTGAAGTAATTCATTCAAGGGAAGACATCTTTATGGTAGGATAAGCGCTTTTTAAAACACAGATTTAGGGGGAGTCACAACTCTTTTGATATATCTCGATGATATAATTGTAATAGAAAATGCTGATAAAGAGACGGAAAGATGGAATAAAGGAGCTTTGGGGACTGAAAATGCATTCTAAGGATTGAAGTAGCTCATTCAAGGGAAGACATCTTTATATTATTGCATGTCATTTCTGTCAATACCTTGGATGGCAGTACTTACACTCCATAGTGGAGCCTTGTAGCGAATGGATCATTCACAGTAAAATCTTTCTATAAGAAGCTATTCAAGTATGAAGATAATGGATGTATTTTCCCTTGCCAGCAGATGTAGAAGCCTAGAGCCCCTGCCCGAGTTTTGTTCTTTGCTTGGGAGGCTATTGATTATCTGAGAAAAAAGGAGAAAGATACTGTTCACTGCTTATTATTTTTGTAAGGGGAGGGAGGAGACTTGTAATCATCTTTTGCGTCAGTGCTTTGTGGTTTATAAGTTATAGATTATGGTTTACGGACAGTTTGGAATCTGTTGGGTCATGGCAGGTTCGTTGAGGGACGAAATTTGGGCTTGGAGGGGCATTTGTGATTGTAGGAAACATGTGGAGATTATCCCGTTAACTATATTTTGGATGGTATGGAAAGAGAGGAATAAGAAGGCTTTTGATAGGGTTAAGGACACTGATGGTTTTGATATTCTAAAGAATAGATAGTTTCAGACCATTGGTTTTTTAGTTGTGGAATCATCCTGGGGGGAGCATTAGTTTTCCTTATAGATTTAAGTGGGAATAAAATTTGTTGTTCAGAAGTGTTCCGGTCCCTCAAACCAGCAGTCTTTTTATAGAAAGAACTGATGGAGAACTTGCCATTCTTATTCAGTTTCCAGATGAGGGTGGCCGGATTGTCTCTCAAGGGAACACTGGCCATCAGTGAAAGGAAATTCTCAAACTCCTCCAGCTCCCAATCATTTAAGTTTGTTACAGGATCTTCCTCTTTGTTCTAGGGAGGAAGTGATGAACCTTGTGGATAATTTGATTGATATGTAAATTTTTGTACATAGGTAACACCCCCTTGGTGCCTATAGCAATATATTTTCACACTTTTTATTTCAAAAAAAGAGGGAAAAAACATTTTTATTTCACAGCAAAAGAATATGATTGATCTTTTAAGGAAAATAGGAAAATTAATGTTTAAACCTGCCTCCATAGCAATTGAGCAAAATCACAAACTGGGAGAGATAAATGGAGATTCAGTTATAGACAGAGAGATGTACCAAACTAATAGAAAAACTTATATATCTTGCTCATACAAAGCCAGATATTGTATATATCATGACGCATGATTAGCCAATTTATATGTAAGCTCAGAAGACATTCACCTTCATGAAGTTTAGGACACTATTATCTAAAGAATAAATCTAGCAAAACAATTTATATCCAAAAGAAACACTGAATTAGTTATTGAGGCACATGTCAATGCAGAATATGTAGGCTCACCAGCTGGTGGATAGTTTACTGTGGGTTATTGTACTTCCATTGGGAGATAATCTTGTGACTTGGAGGAGTAAGAATTAGAATGTGGTTGCTAGATAAAGTGCAGGAGCAAAGTTCAAGGTAATGACATGGAGAGAGTGTGGCTTATTATGATTCAAGATAACTTTAGAAGACTTAAAGATTAGATGGCAACGGCAATTAAATTTTTTATGACAATAAGTCTGTCATTTAACATCTGATCACCGATCCTGTGAAACATGATAAAATCAAACTCATTGAAGCCGACAAACATTTCATATAAGAAAACTCAAATAGTGGATTGATTTGTACTCCTTACATCCCTCAGTTTATGTACTTACATAATTTTGCAACGTTCTGAGGGGTATCTTCAAACTGGTTATGGAAGATGTATATTTATTAGCTTGAGGGAAGGTGTTGTAAAATCGCTCAATCATGTGTCCAATAGTAGGAAATTTATCTTACTAAAAATATGGCATACTAGTTAGGAAGTCCTGATATATAGATTTGATTTGATTTGGTCTGCTGTTACTAGTTTCCTTTTTTTTTCTTTTTGTAATAGGTTTGCCTCTTCTCAACATAAAAGGAAATCATTTTCTCTAAATCCATAAAAAGCAAAATGCCCTACCTCATGAATGCTTGACTTACCAGAGGGAAGAGGCTTTCCCTATTAATACTGACAGGTGAACACCATGTATTTTTTTTGAAATAAGAAGTATACTGTGTAGTATTGATAAACAGGCACCAAGAAGGTGTCAATCAGTGTACAAAGTATTTGCATATCCGACAAGATATCAATAAGGTTTCCTAAATCCTCCATATAAAGGATGACCCAAAATAAAAAAACTAAGAGTTTGGAACTATCTATTCCTAATGCTACCAAAATTATCATCTATCCCTTCAAAAGCCCTTTTATTTGTCTCCTTCCGAACCATCCAAAAAATAATGAGTGGGATGAGGTCCACATGTTGCCTCCGACTACTGATACCCTTTCCCGCTCAGATTTCATCTCTTACCAATCCAGTCATCAGTCAACTTATCCTTAATAACCTGTAAATTATAGTTCATAATTTGTTGGTGATCAGACACCATAATAGTACATGATTACAAGTCTCTACATCGCTTTTACATAGACAGCAACCATTTACCATAATCTTTCCCCTTTTCATTAATTTGTCAATGGTCAAAATATCCCCCCCCCCACACCAACTTTTCGCGCAAAGAAAACAACTCTGGAAGGTGCTTTAATATTCCATATTTGACTAAAAGGAAACCTGGTGCCAGTGTTATATGCTTAGGCAGATACTTTTAGAAAGATTTGACCGGAAAGGATCCTGTAGTAGTTAGACTCCACACTGGTTGGTCACTGTTACTGTCCAATGACATGAGGGATGGAGTGTTTAGGAGATTCTCATATTCGTTAATCTCCCAATTGTTGAGGTCTCTTAGTACATTGACATACGACTCCTTCCCTCTCCTCCAAACTCTCCAAAATGATTCAGTTATTATAGTCTCCTTCTGTCATGTGATGGAAAAAATCTGAAGATACTGGTCTCTAAGGGCTCCACATGCCAACCATGGATCTTGCCAAAATCTGATTCTGTCTCCCTTGCCAACTCTCCATCTAATTCAAATCTAGAATTTGTTCCTATCCATGCAAATTTTTTTCTGAAATTTGACTCTATCTCCCTTGTCAACCCTCCATCTAATGCAAACCTGGAATTTGTTTCTGCCCATGCAACTTTTTTCCACATTCCTTTCTCGTGTGGTCTTGCCAAGGCCCTAATACACTATCGTTTCTCATCTGTTCTGAACTTCACTTCTATCACCCTTCTCCACAGTATACCTTCTTTTATAAATCTCCATATTCATTTTTCCCGATTGAATCATCCCCTGCTTCGACCACTGTGTTATCACCATTTTAGTTAACGCTGTATCTCCACCAATTTTATACCACTAGGAAACTATAAGTCTTGGCAAGAAGCTGAAGTTCCTATTTTATTTCATGTTATGAGTGGAAAAGTTGTATGCACTATAGACATAGAGCTGTTGGACAGTTTTTGTATACTCTGCATATCTTCTCAGCTTCAGAATTCAAAGCTATGGCATTGGTGAATAAGAAAGAATTTGGTGAGTAATGGATGACAGATGCCCGTAATTCTTCACTCTGCAAGTAGCATTAGCTGCTATGGACTATACTTTGTAAAACTTAGCTGATCCGTGAGAATCCAATGAACTGCTTTCTCTGGCAGAAAATATTTCCTTTTTTTCTGAAATTGGATATAATGCTTTGCTAGTTTTCTGATGCTCTCAGTCAATGGTTATTTTCTGTTACCTTCTTAAAGGTGCAGTGGAATGCCATGTAAAATCTTTGTGTATTTGTTGATACGTATCTAAGTTTTTTCCTTCCAGAAATTTGTCAAATCCTCATTTGGCATGATAGTTAACATTCTCTATGCTAATTACTCTTTCCTAGTGTTGTTGGATAACTTTGCATGATTATAATTTCCTCGCACCTTTTGGAAAGGGGTCGTTCCCTCAACTCAAGTTGAGGGCATTTATTTGACTTTTTTTTGGCCAAACCAGTTTATAAGCTACTATGACAAAAAGGTATAAAGATATGACAAATAAGTTCCAAGCTTATTGGTGGTATTTGGCCTCAAGAACAATTCTGTGGTAATGACATTATGACTTTAATCTCTATGCACTAAATCCTGTGGCTGGGAAATCTAATCATGCCTTTTGGTCTATTAAAATGTCCTTAACAGAATCCAACATCATTTACCACTTGGGTCCCTTCCAATGCAATCTTGGCTTGGGAAGCCATCTTACTTCTTTTTTCAAGAGCTAATAACTTGTCATGATGAATTGTATGTGTCATTTGCAAACTACAAGGCTTCTTTTCTTTTTGATGTTGAGTTAGTCTGATTTGTTGAATGCTAAGATAACAACAGATATGTCAGTTCAGATCAGATTGCTCATGTATTCTGCAATTGCGTGAAATAACTACTTGTCTAAGGATCAGCCACCAACTCCTCGGATTTAGAGGTCCATAAGCACTCTGCATACTTACTGCACCTCCTATCTTTTCATGTTAGTATAAAAGGAAATTTATGTAGCCTTGATGCGAATATGTCGGTTCTAGCCATAACCTGATCAGATGGAAGCATGGTAGTTTGGGCATTCAGTTTATGTTGCTCCTGTATGTATAATTTTTTGAGAAAATTGCGTCAACTCTTTATTTGGATCATGATGGTCTTGGAGAGTAATTATAAGCTGGTTTTACCAAAACAAAATGGAGAAAGCAAAAGAGCTATGTTACAGCAGCAACCAGTGACTGGACTTGCTCTTATGCATTAGGATAACTTGATTCAGATGAATTTTCCTTGGAAATATGTAGATATCTTATGTTTGGGTATGCTGCACACAATATATGAATTATGTATTGGTGGTGCTTTTCATAGTATACTTACGGATAAATATTTAAAACTTTCTTATCAGCCTACCAAAGCATTAAATTTTAAGTTACTATTCTGCACGTCCCTCTCTTTCAGGGAAGCACCATTATTCAGTTGCTTTATTGTTGAATCTGTCTCTTATTTAATTCACACAGTGAAAAGTTTTCACGTATTTCTAATTTTTCCTTAACCATGATGCTTTGATTTGTGCAAAAATGTTATTTACAGGAGAGTGGCAGACACAGAGATCCAGCTTATGGTGATGTTTCTGCTTCTGAACAACATGTTGCAGAAGATCGTTTTGTGTCCCCAGCTATGGCATCAGTGGCAGGGTCATCATCATCTCCTTCTGGTGGTCTTGCTTGTGCAATAGCTGCTCTTGCTGAACGTCAGCAGATGGTTGGAGAATCATCTAACAACCCGAATGGAATTGCAAATATGTCATCTTTCAGCATGCTTCCATGTAGTGGTACGTATTACAACATCGGAGACCAGGAGGCTGAGAATTATCATCCTGTCTCTGTCCATGCATCACCAGCAATGATAAGTAATGATGGAGAATGGGGGGTAGATCGCGGATCTGAGGTGGCTGAAGCTGGGACGAGCTATGCTAGCTCTGCTGTGACAGAAGATGCTGGGGGAATTTCGACATTATCAGATCCAGATGAAATTGGGGATAGATTCCAAAATGTTCCAGCACCCATTATTCCTGAGAGTTTTGAGGAGCAGATGATGTTGGCCGTGGCTGTTTCTCTGGCTGAGGCCCGTGCAGTGACAAGTGGACAGGGAGTTTCATGGCAATAGTTCAAAAACAAAGCTTTCCAATTTAGCTGCCATCCAGTTGAATGGATGATACTGACCATGATTTCAAAAAGGTGAGCTGAAGTCTTGTGCAGGTGGTAAGTACAAGACTAGGTGCATGAAATTAGTTGAATGGTCAAGTCTGTGATGATTCTCTCTTTTCCTCGCATTGTCTATCAGTCCATATATAGATGCCAAAAGAAAACAGATTAGTTTTAGTTAAATGGAAAAAGCTTGCTTGCTTATGGTATTCATTACGATTCTCTTCTTCCTTTCTTGTCCATATTAATTACAAGCTTGTCTGCAAGTCTGACTGAGATAATCATTTTATGGTATTCTTTTCAGAATTATTTGGCCCAACTGATCTCTTGCAACTTCTGATTTTGTTATTTCTGTCATGACATGATAAATTTGAACATGTGTTTTAGAGTTTTTTATTTTATTTAACCTTTAAATATCATCAAAGGGCATTTATTTAAAAATTTATTTTCTGTAGTTGAGAGGAAAATTTATGAGCACAGATCTTCAAGATATTGTTGTGGGCAGGCTAGAAATATAGAGAGGAAGGGGCAGGAGAAAGATTTGGGTAGTTGGAGAAAATATGAGACTGTTGAATCTCACATGCTAGTGTCTGTTATGAGGCACAGTTGGAAGGAGTTGTATGTGTCTTTTGATTTCACATCACACATGCATTGCCAAGAAACATCACTCCTAGCGGCCCATTGCACTTTGCCTTCTCTCATTGAATGATGATAATTAATATGGTTAGGACCACAATCAGCACAAATGTTAGATACATACTTTATTCCTTACTGCATTATCATATTTTTTTCTGAGTAACTTCTAGTTTGATCCCTTCTGCCTTCCCTGCCATTGTTTCTTTTGGTTAGGACCCATTCCAAGTGACTATCTAGCGAGTTAAATGTTAGTCGAAGTTAGGAAGAAAAGCAAGTTAAGTCCTTTGCTTCAGTTTGTCTTTGTTGCCGTGTGAAATGTGTAGCATTAGATCATAGGTTTTGTCTGCCAAGTATATATATACACACACACACACAGACAGACATATAAGTATTATAGGTGGGTGCAAGCCGTGATTGGTTTTGACTAAAATGGAGAAGGAGACGATTAAATAATTCATTAGCATGTGATAAGTTTGAATTATTAGGATCATAATTAGAGAGATAAAGGAACAACTAAATCATGTTACCTTAAATAGTTTTTTGATGCGCAACTGGCTCTCGTATAAAATTACGAGAATCCAAATATATACATCTATCTTTTAGGGCGTTGACTCAAAATTATTAGCACCGATAAGTCTCAAAAAAACCCACTATTGATTAATATATATATATATATGTATATGTGTGTGTGTATTAATAGTGTTTAAAATTTAATAAATCGATGACGTATACATTTTTAGTAAAGTAAACGCAAACTAAAAATCATAATACTAGGCTAGCTTAGTCTCATGGAGCTGCCTATAAGTTTGGTTATTATTATTATTTAAAATTGGTCACATGAAACTTGGAAATTGTAACAACATGAAGGCTGATACAATAAATAAAATCCCACTTTCCATCCAACAAATTAATAATTGGTGGGTCTCCACAGATTTCTATGAATTTTGAAGATATTCATGTGTTTTTGTATGGACTTTCTTGTAAGGCAATACTTCATTCATATTTTCTTTCTCACACTTTATTTTCCCTATTTATTTATTTGCTGGGTTTGATATATATATATATATATATATAGATGCATTCACATAGTGACATACATACATTAGTCGAATCTCTATTTTTTAACTTTAGTAAAGTCATGAGAGATTATGCCCGAGACAAGTTAAATATTTGATCCCCACAAAACCATTACTTAACATAAAAACGATTAGTGTCAACAATATCTAATTTAGAAGGTATAATACTCCTACTATTAAATTGAAAATTTTAATTTGAATCTTAATTATATTTATATTTTAAAATGAAGACTATGAATAACTATTTTGTACGCATATAATTATGGTATAATGATTAATACTTATTATATACATGTAATTATGAAATAATGATAGTACTTAAAGACTTAATGCTTTACAGGTCTTTGTTGACAAAACAAGCGGATTAAGAATTAATCACTGGATTAAGCTTTTGGTTAATTTTGATAATTGCTTTCATTATATATATTATCTTTTTTTTAAAAAAAGAAAAAACTAACTAGAGATGGACAAATCTTTTTTGAATTTCAAATTAAATATGCTAATTTTGGAACAAATATATTCATCAGTCATGAATTTCGTTATTTTTTAAATTTAATATTTAAATTTATTAATATGTTAATAAAAATTAAGTTGAGATAAATTTCTGTAAATTTATTTTATTTATAAATTAAAAAATTTACATTCTTTTAATTACAATACTTGCAACGATTTAAAAAAAAATTAACGTTATCTTTTTATATATATATATATATAATTAAAAAAAAGGGTTTTGTACATATCGACAATCCCTTATAATAGGGTTCAAACAGTGTATAAATAGAATATTAATATTTAAAATTTGTTAATGGAATTAGACATAATAACAACAAAATTTAAAAGTTTATATATGTATATACATGTATAAATATGTAAAGGAAGTACTAAAAAAGGATAGGTTAAAATAAAATAGTCTTATAGTACAAATGGGTTTTATGAGAAGGGGCCTATAATTATTAAAATTGATATGAAATGAGTTTCTGGTGGCAGATTTTTCAGACTTATTATTACACCAACTTTACTTCAATTATTATGAGTTTTGTAGGAAGTCAGAATGTTTGCATCTCTAACAAATATATACTTTGGTGAATTTTATCACCAATAAAATTATGAGACTTAAAACCATTGTCTACTTGATTGGTCAGATCAGCTTTGGTGAATTTGTAATGACAAATTTACTTTTTAACTTTTACTTTCAGTAAACTTTGAAATTTATTACATCAATAATAAGGAACGCTGTTAAAGAAAATAAGAGACTCAGTGCCATTGCAGGATTGTTTTATTGGATTAAATTGCTTGCTCGGTTTATTGGAAGAAGAGAGTGTTGGAAAAGCAGTAAAAAAAAAAAAAAGGTTTGAACTTTATTCAGAACGGACAAAAAAGAACAGTTTAACAGGTACTCCCACAAGATACACCTTGGATTTTTCTTCCCCCACAACTCAAATTACTCTTTTCTCCTCTTCCTTGCTATTCTTTTATTAAAAACCAGCACTTACATTAATATTCACTATCAGCTTTATTTCAAACTTCAAATCCTTTCCTCTCTACAGAGTAACAGGTTTGTGGGTTGTGTGTATTTTACCGCCTATTCTCTCTGTTTCAAAAAATTTACCACAAAGCTCATTACTTTTCTTCTCTTTCCCTCTTCTTCTCCATTTGCATTCTGTTTCTTCTTCGTTGCCTTCCATTATCAGAAAGTCTCTACATATGCCCATATAGGAAAATATATACTTTATATGTATCAAGGCTTTCCTGTTTTAACTCCTATACGAGAAGCTAACTGGGTTTTCTTTATATCAAGGTCAGATTCACTCCTTTCATTGTTTCTCATTATTGAAAAATCACTTCTCTCTCTACCTTGTTTATTTTTCTCTGGGTCATTGTAAGGCATGCATGAAGTTTGAGATTAACAAAGATATATACTTCTTCTGTTCTATGAGCTGTTTGGTTGCTAAGAAAGTTGAGAAAGAGAAGAGATTGCAGTATCTTGATTACTCATGATCTTAATTTCATTTTCTTTTTTATTCTTTTCCTCATTTTTACTCCAATATTGAGACTTGTGCTCTGGGATCTCAAGGAGAGACAGGGAGAGAGATTTCGGGACCTTTTTTTTATATATAAAATAACAATTATTTTTTTCAAGATCTAATCCTTGTCAGTAGCTAACCACTGTTGTTGTTGACCTTTGTCTTTGCAAATGCTACGGCAGTAATTTATTTTCTCTTTCTTTTGGGTTTGGTTAAACGTGAAATTCTCAAATAGTCTCTCTCAGATCTTGCCTTGTGAAGTATGAATCATTAATCTGTTTGAACATTTCAATCCTTTAGCTTGAACACAATCAATGTTCAAGTTTTAGACTTATCTCTGCACCCCATTACAAAAACTGTTTCTTCTTTTTCAATCAATTGTGTTGGAAAGCATCGGCGCGTGGCGGTGCGTGTAAGACAGTTTGCTCCTGGATCTTTCACCTTGGTCAGATTTTTTTTTTTTTTTTACTTCAGTTTTTGTTTTCAAAAAAGCTGATCTATAGATGTAGTAGCAAATGGCAGAAATGTCGAGAGAGTGGTGCTAGTAGCAAAAAGGAAATTTGCTTTTGCTCTGCCCCATAAAGCAAGTTGGCACCTTTACAAAAACCCAATAGCACAGAGACATGCAAACTCATCGAAAGACCTTAAAGTGATCTTGAATTCACAACCTGTATTTGTTTTCTTATATATCTATACATATATGTAATATTTGTGTGAATGTGTATACGTAGTCTTTTTTATTTTTTTTTTGTCTTTTGGTGTTCTTGCTCTTGTTTTTTTGATATTGTTGTTCTTGTTTTGGCCTTTTCTTGTCCAAACTTACCACTACGTATCTGTGGATTATGCAATTTATCTATGGATACTTGTGCAGTAAGGTTTTCTTGGTGGCAGTAAGACGATTCTTTTTGACGTTGTTTATTATACAAACCATTCATTATTTGGATGTTTAATGCTTTCATCTTTTTGTTTGAGCGTGTGGATTCGAATCTTGAACTGTGTGCTCGTTCTTATGGCCTAACCGAGAAAACAGAAGTGGTCTATTATCTGAATAGGATGTTGTAATGGGATTAATCCAGCCAATTTGTTTCCATATTCTCCTACTATCTTGAGAAATGGAAAAAGAAAAGAACTGTTATAATTATTTGAAGTATTTCGTCCTAGTTCTATATCTGAACTTCCTGTTAAATGAATTTTGGAAGCCAAAAAATTTCTCGGGTGGATTTGTCAATAAAATTTACCTGCAAAATCCATTGTAAGAGCCAATTGTTTACAATAATCAATTACTGAAAACAAAATGTTGTATACCTGCTCCTGGAGATGGCCCCTGTTATGATGTGTTACAGGTAGCTCAGATGAGCATATGGTGGGCCAAGTGAGACTGTTTGAAAAGCAATTATTCAAATGTCCATAATGCTATATTACAAAGAGTGAATCTACTAACCCCTCCTCATGAACTATTAAAAAAACTATGACTGATATTGGTTGGTGGTGGGACAGAATTCAAATTGATCTTTACTGCAGTAGTGGGTCATTTATCTATATAATTTTGACCTTTTATGGCTCTCCCAACTAATGCCTGAAATACTAACAAGTTACCCTTTTACTATTTCTTCAATCTGTAAAACCCTCTGATATTACAAGCTTTGTAACTTTGAAGAGAATTGAAGTCAGGTTTTTGCATATTTTAGGCGTCTAACTTGGCTTTGATATTTATACATGCATCACCTTAATTGTTTTTACCAGCTCTCATCCTAGTTAACATGGTAGATGTGTTTAATTATTTCTGATCACGTTTTAATTGCTCAGGTCAGAGCCCATTTTGTGAATTGCTCCATCTTTGCTTTTTTAAGTTTGTAAGCCGGCCAAATGCCAAGATCAAGGTGAGAGAACCTAATGTGACATATTTAATAGAACTTCTTTGGCTGGACATAATTTCATAGAAATTTGATTTTTTTTAATTTATTTTCAATGATCAATAGGGGATCAGAAGTGCCTCAAAGGCAGTCTCCTCGGCTGAGGTCATCGAGTTCTGAATCTGAACCACTGCATCATCGGCCCATTACTGATCGGAGCCCTAAGGTAGGAGAACGTCGTTCCCCAAGAAGTGCTCCCCAATCTGACCCAGTAAACCAGAAGAAGCTTGGTACCCGGATTGCAGATTTGGAATCACAACTTGGTCAAGCACAAGAAGAGCTGAAGAATCTGAAGAAGCAGTTGGCTTCAGCTGAAGCTGCAAAGATAGAAGCTGAACAAGAACTGGAAAAGAAAATCAAGAAACCAGCTGCTTTGGATGCTGCGAAAGTACAAGAAAAGAACTCTGGAGATGAAATTCAAGAAGCTAAAAGGATGGATAGCAACTTATGCAGAGATGAAGTTCCTGATGAAAATCAGCAAGAAACTGATGTGTTTGAAGTTCCAGTAGAGAAAGTGGCAATTGAACCTAAGGTTGACCCTGACCAACTAGACGATCATATGGAAAAAGAAACCAAACCAGTTAACATATCAACAGAGCCACAAGCAATTACAGAGCCAGAGAAGCCATCTCTTCGAGACTTGGTTTTGAAGAACCAAGAGATAAACATGCTTAAATCCAAGTTAGAAGAGAAAGAAAAGGACATAGAGGAGTTGGGTCAGGCAAATGAGGACTTGAGGACTCAACTAAATGAAGCAGCCTGGAAGTTGTCATCTGCTCAAGCCAAGGAAGAGGAAATGACCCTGAGGTTGAATCAAATTGGAGAAGAGCTAGAAGCAAGTAAAAGGAATGCTGCCCAGTCAAAAGAGAAGCTGGAATCTATGGAGGGCGCAAAGGAAGCATTGGAAGCAGAGATGAAGAAGATGCGAGTGCAGACAGAGCAGTGGAAAAAGGCAGCAGATGCTGCAGCAGCAGTACTTTCCGGTGGAGTGGAGATGAACGGGAGGATTTCCGAGAGATGTGGTTCCATGGACAAACACTATGCTGGTGTGTTTGGGCCACTTACTGGTGGTTACACTGGTTTTGTTGGATCACCTGGAATGGTTGATGATCTGGATGATGGTTTTGGAAGTGGAAAGCGCAAGGGTTCTGGCATGAAAATGTTTGGAGATCTGTGGAAAAAGAAAGGCCAGAAGTAAGTCTTCACATCAGTTTTTAGTGTTCTGTAAGATGCTGGTGGGGAATGATATGGTTGCTTACCATTTCAGATTTTGTTGACATTGTGTCTCGATGTCATGGCATTTTCGCCTTCTGCTCATGGGTTTGTTACTATTATCATGTTAAGTAATATGAACCTCTTAGATTATATTAGTACCTAATGGTTTATTTTATGGGCAAGGTTTTGGGACCCTTAATGATACAGGCCATTCATCATATCCTGACTGCAAACAATATTCCACCATTTCTCCAAATTACTTTGTAGGCAGGTGTATACTTACTTTTAACTTTGCATTTCTCCTTTTTTCTTTTTAAATTAGTTCCTGTTGATCATCAGAAACAGCAACTGAAATGATAGGATGGATATGAATTGAATTGCAATTCAAAAGATGAGATTGGAAAAAATCAGTAGCTTTTTTAGGCTTTCACTGAAATCTAAGGAAACATAAGCAGCAAGCAATATTTTGAGTCACCATAAATAACTACATGCTACAGTACCAAAGAATTTATAATCTTCTCTTGGCAAAAGATAGGCTACAAGTTCAATTTTGAAGTATCAATTTCCTCTAAGCATGTTCACAGCAAATCTCTCTCCAAAAAAGGCTGCACAATTTGAAACAGTTTTATAAGAGTTAAACACAGTTATGACTCAGATGACCATATAAAGATTGACAGTAAGAGTAATCCAACTTCACATTAACAGTTCAGACAAATAACCGATTATGTACATTAGTTCTATTAATTGAAAATGCTGTGCAAATATCTGTAACCACCAATAATAAAATTTGGACTGTTATAAGTAGTGTCAAAAACCACATTCCTCAAATCATTTCTTGTACATTAAGTTCTGGAGTTTAAACATAACCTTTTATGATTTCGAGATGTTGAACAAGTATGAAAGCTAATTTGAAATGTTCAAATAATTTCTTTTATGTATATAGGACTATAAACTGCGACGTGGGCACTTACAGGAACGATTTACACCAGGGGGTCATTTGCTCTATATTTGATGGGTAAGCTCCTTGTTACGTGCACATTAGCTGCTCCATCAAATGCCTTTAGAAAAGAAAAGAACACTGGTAAGAGATACCATGTACGGAAACAGAACGGTGACAATTCTGAAAAATCTTGGTCAATATCAAAACAAACTGTTCTGTCACTAACAGCTCAATCAACTCAGCTGCAGAGGCTGCTGTAATTATTTTCACCTAGAATCCCCTAACAAGTCCATCAATTTGAAATAGCTGCCACATGAAAGCATCCACAAGGATTATCACCCCACCTAGGCTGGAAACCCTTCGAAAGGGAAAAGCCAGACAACTGTTTCCATATGTACATATTATCAACAAGAATTCCTGATCTGATGCTCCAAAATATCATTTACTTCTTTTCAACAATATTCAACTAAGTTTCCAAAGCAGAACATTAAAACTTCTGAATTAACCGAATACATTACTATGGTAAAGAATAAAATTTTAGCACTGCACAATCAATCACCCATCAAAATCTTCATCACTTTCATAGTTCTGGCACAACGATTGCAATGCAGTGTTTGCGTTGGTCTCTTCTGATTTTGCCGCAATATTCATATCAGAAGCTGCAACTGATTTCTTAATCACCAAAATCCTGACTGGTAAAGAGTTAGAAGTGGATTTCGTATTATTTGTCCCTTGAGCATTTGAATTATCTGAAAACAAGCACAAAGGTTTCAGTATGCTGACTGCCAGATTAACATCAATGCAATGCATCTTGAAGAGAGAATCCTCATGATTTTGTTGATAAAGGCTTATGGTCCAAAAACCTAGTATTTTCTTTTAAACGATTGACAATAATGTACCTTATACAAAAGATTTAAATTCTGCTACAAGACCCCTAGTTCAGGTTGAAATTTTATACTAGTCTTCCTAACCTTCGCTCAGATGGACGGAAAGACAACTGGAATTCATCACAAATGCTTCGATCAAAAGTCTAAATGTTTATAAAATAGGAAGTTAACAGATACATCCAAAAGGCACCAAATATATGACTTGTAGACAAAGGACTTCTAGGAAGTCTTCTGTTAACAACAAGCTTCCCTTCACGCAAATATGTAACATAAATGTTAAAACTTCTTTCTACATACCAGTAAAATAAAACAAAGATATTGGACACAATCCTCCAGAACTTGGAAAGATTATTAATCAATTCTTCTTAAGATATAACATAAGAATGTTATAAAAGGAGAGAATGGGCATAAAATAGAAGAATAGATAAGAGTTATAAAAAAAACTAAATATTTTATTAAACCCTATTTTTACTTAGAAAATATTTTGTTTGCTTGATAATTAGCCAATTTATATGAAAGTTTAAAAAGTTGAGAGAAAGCTAAATAACTTTCAAGATTAAAAATAACAAATTCACATCATTTTGAATTTTTCTTCTCAAGAAAAAATTTAAAACTGAAAACAAAGTTGGTATCTGAAAAGAAATTTTTGGGTGAAGTTAAAAAACTAAATATTTTATTAAACCCTATTTTTACTTAGAAAATATTTTGGTTGCTTAATAATTAGCCAATTGATATGAAAGTTTAAAGAGTTGAGAGAAAGCTAAATAATTTTCAAGATTAAAAATAACAAATTAATATAATTTTCAATTTTTCTTCTCGAGAAAAAAATTTAAAACTCAAAACAAAGTTGTATCTGTAAAGAAATTTGAGTGAAGTTTTGAACCATAATAAATACCTATGGTGATACTGCTAGAAGCCTATAATTAACAACTAGAGAGCGTTAATACCAGGAAGCATGATTGCACTATCTTGTTAACATCCACCTAAAATATAGCATTGTACTTTAATACTAATAATTAGATAATACGACCCCATAATTTTTTTTTGAGATAACCCCACAACTTTTTTAGATGCAATTAAATAAAAACAACCTTCTGTTTCTCTCAAGAGTCCTTGAGAGAGCAATTTAAAGGAGAGAGATAACAAGCTTGGTGAAAAAGAAAAGTTCAGGTGAAAATAACCCAACAAAAAATTTCACATTCTTTGACATAACGCAATATAATCTTTCATTACATAGCTATAATATTTCTTTTTTTCTGTTTGAGAGACACATAAGGCTATGAATGATATGAAATCTAAATTTTTATACAACTATTTTTCAACCAAATAATGTACTAAAACATTCTTTAATATTTTGATTCCATTAGTTCTTTTGGAGGATATTGCAAGAACTAAGGATGCTAATGCCACTAACATGGATTGAACCTCAACTTCCCCATGTGAGGAGGCAGGGGCATCAGCATTTGGGCAAAGGGCCTTAGAAATATATCAAATCATTTCAAAAGGGGATCTCGATGTATGTCCCATACCTCTATGGCTGTAACTGTCAGATGCACTGGCCTCTGTTAAAAGATCAGTAGTGGGGTTGGAAGGAACTTCTCCAGAAATCTTTCTCTTCTGCATAACAAGCAAATTATCATAAACTATCGAAGTAGAAAATATACCAACATTTTACCACCTGCAAACCATAAGCTTTGGAAATTGTTATAAAAAAATGAAAAAAAAAAATACTGGAATCCACTTTGAAATTGTGATAACATCATGAGAAACTTGACATCAATGATCAATACAAGGTGCTCAAAAAAGCATCTGCTTCTAAAATATCGAAGAACTTTGGCGAAAGGAATACACAATGATGAAGAAAACTAGTGCCAGAGAAACTTAAATGACCATGAATAGCAGGTTGATGTTTGAACGAAACCACGTGAAAGAAAAAAAAAAAAGCTTAGATCCCTCAAACTCAAAACTATTCTATATCATCTACGAATGTTAAATTTTCTACCGACTTTACTCTTATGGTCCCTATAATTCACGCTGAAGAAACTAATTCAACTAAAGCTCTTAAAAATAGAAATGAGATGAGTTTATAGAGAACGTTTTACGTAAAAATATACAAGCAGTCAGTTTCAACTGGTGGCTACGGGTGTGGATAATTATTTGTTTGTGTAGCAAACTATTGGTGACCCAAAATGAAAATTATCCAACCTCTATATGGATAAAAAGGAAAATTCACAAAAGACAGCATTTTTAGCTATACAATAAAAATTATAAACAATTTCCCCAACAGTAGAATCTACACAATGTAACAAGAATTGACCACAACATTGTAACAGGAGAAAAAAAAATATAAAGGGCATAAGCCTGTACCAGGAATGCAATAAAACCTTCAATAAAAAGTTCTTGATTTCACTAATTGCAGCACTTTATGAAGCTTGAAAGGAAAACTATCCACCTAATAAAAGCCTATTTTGATGTTTACCATATAGATAATTGTTCTCTGACAGAACTGAATGCTAAAACTTCGAAGGCGCACCAATTTAAATGGAAAGATTTTTGAAACTTTGTATGACAAAGATTATAAGAAAAACTTAGCTAAGATATGTTTGATGTTTGCCTACTCACCTTTAAAAGCTGAGTCATATAATCATCATCATCATCATCATCATCCAAAATTTCATCAGGAATTCTTCGAATTATCTCCTCCTTTGGCCCCTATTTTACAGTCGAAACAAATGGGTATAGAAACAACCAAACAAAAGAAAGTGGAGCAAGGAAGCAACTGAAAGAACATTGCAATGGAGAATAGGAATACTGACATGGAATATTGATTTTATGAGTGCTTCATCCTCTTCTTCCAATTTCTTCTCCTACAGGAAAGTAAAAATCCAACAACACAATCAGAAGCATAAAATTGGAATTTGGAACTGAGTATTAGATGAATCTTGGTATGTCTATCATGAGTATAGATAGAAAGTGAGATGCTCTACTGTTTTCTTAGATCCAAAACCATGGATTTAGAAATAAAGAACGATATAAAAGCAGTTTCAGAGAGAGATTCTAAAAGAATCAACTGGCAATTTCCCATAACCTTTTTTTCTGAGAAGTTCCCATAAACTGGGATGAATATAAACCAACACTGTTGCTACTGTTAAAATACATCAAAAGGTTACATTAATCACCATATTTTACTTTCAACATCTGATTCTAACAGAAAAAATCATACATCAGTACTACACTACACACTAGGTTATTATGTAATTAGTACAACAAATCTAGGATAAAGCCTATCGTAATTGCCTGTTACAAGGAGAAAATGATGCACATGTTAACATAAATTAAAAGAAACCAGGGAAGTATTTGCTCCCTAGGCATTGTATCAAATAAAAAATGAGAAAAGTGCCTAATTAAAAATAAATAAATAGCAAAACCATCATACCTTTTCGGCAGCTGTACGCTGCAAAGTCTCAAGCATTGCATCTACACTAACAGTTGCATGTCTAGACTGCCAATGAAGAAAAGCAAAAGCGACCTTTTGTCAGTACCAAACAAGGAATACAATTTCTGGCCAAATAGCATGTCAGATTGCACCTTCTCGTATAAATCAAAATTGAGGTAAATATGACAAATATTTACATAAAATTACCTTCATGGATTTCATTTCATCAAGGGCAGCAATGATGTCCATCTCTCTCTTAGAATCCAAAGTTCTGTTCTCCAAAGACTTCATCGCATCCCCCATTTCTTCAGCTTCTCTTTTCTTTTTCTCTTTTTCAGTTTCCTGGCAAGAGTAGAGACACATCAAATAGGTCCCAAACTGTATTCACATCATTGTTAAAAATCAAAGACCCAAACACATAAATTGTATCTGCAAAAGCCCCTCACCTCATCTTCTTCTCGCCAAGGTTCGAAGTTACGACTGGCACCAGACTCAACAACATAATCCGAATTCTGAGGATCAGTCTTTATTGTGAGCTCAGCTGAGCACCTGGTGCATTTGAAGTAGAACCGAAATATTTGGATTCCTAAATAAGTCTGCAGAAGATTATCTCAAACCACAAAGAATTAGCAAAGCCAATGTTTATCAAGCATTAATTAAGAACCACTCGCTTAAAAACTCAATA